AACTACTTTATTATCCAAGCCATTACTTCAGAGCTTGCATTCAAAATCCATGAAAAAAGAACAAAATATAGAAAGAATAAAAAGATGTTCATTACCTTTGCTTTCCTGAAGAACCCTCTTTATCCTCTAGATAACTAGAAAGTGGAGCCAATTTCTGAGCATTCAAATGTCTCTCTGTTACATCATTAGAAAGTAATAAGAAACAGATTGCCAGATATGTTGGGTAAAAAGTAGTAGATATTTATGAAAAATCAGTACCTTTCCTCCCCTCAGAATTTAAAGTTGTTTGTTCTTCCCTTTTAGAAACATCTCCATCCTCGTTAGTTGTTTGTTCTTCCTTTTCAGAAGTATCTCCATCCTCGTTAGTTGCTTGTTCTTCCCTTTTAGAAGTATCTCCATCCTCGTTAGTTGTTTGTTCTTCCCTTTCAGAAGTATCTCCTTCCTTGTTAGTTTTTGACTTAGATGCAGTACCTGCGTTAAGAAAATAACGGAAGAAACCTAAGGACCCCCACTCATTCTACTGAAACTGGGAAAACATGGAAGAAAGAAGGAAAGAAAGAAAATTTCAGCAGTCCTCCAACATGTGGATTTTGACACTTCCAAGATCTCATGATCAACCTTGATTTTCTTTTGACCGCCGCTGCTCAAGGGGAGCTCGATGCATTGCATGTTTAACAGTAATTTTGCGTCCTTCAATAGACAGCCCATTCTTCTGCTGAATTGCTTGATTCGCATCTTCTGCTACAGCACTGCAATCATATTCAAAGAATCCAGCGAAGTTAAGAAATCAAAGCCTTCATAGGATAACCGTGGGTAATAGAAATTTAACAAGAAGAATTAAAAAGGGATAAGAAATTAGTGTCCATTGTGACAAACATCAAGCAGTATTGGCAGGATAGACAATCAATAGCATGTGTTTGGAAAAACTTGAACCTCAGTGTAAAACGGGTTCAATGTTTTTTCTTATAGAAACAGAAACCATAACATAGATTGATGAAATAAATTACAAAAGAATTATCCTATATGTGGATAGTTACGAAAAACGGCTTCAGTGTGAAAGGAGGGTAGATAAGCTGTAATTACAATGGAGAAGATAATTTACTCCAAGATAAAGCAAGAAAATTAGTAACTTCAATAAAAGCATAGATGCTTTGAACGCACTCCACACTTATAGACAAGCAAACCATTAATACAATCAAAACTGAAAACACCATCAATTGCATAGAAAACGGAACAACATAAGCAAGAAAATATTAAATCTGATTTAGTATCCGAAGAACAGAGATATATATAGGCATCTAGTATATCCATATATAGGAAACAAAAGCATTTTCCATATTGACAGAAGCTCTAGCTTCCAAGTAAAAGGTAACATTTTCACAGGTAATAATAGTAGCTCATCCATTAAGTATCAATTATCAAACTAAAGTGCCTCCATAGACCTATACTATAGTCAGACAGGAAACATTGGGCTGAGTAGAACCAAGACGTTTGGACAAGTAGAGAGGAACTACAAGAACAATAACGAAAAGAATAGTGTGGATCGGAATTTGACTTACAACTGCACGAATCCGTAACCACGATGCTCAGTTGAACCTGATGACATAGAATAAGATAAGTTTAAAACAATTGTCAATGAAAATATCCCAACATGAGTTTAAAACAATTGTCAATGAAAATATCCCAACATGTCATCTGAAGATATTGAAACAGTAAAACACTCCATCTATTCCACCAAATGCTCTTTCATTGTATCAAATCACCAAATCTTTAGTTATCTCAGAAAGTAGACTAAATGCAAAAACAAAAACAAAACACCAATCCGAGATAATCCTGCATAGATGTACTTACCCTTCTGCGTAACCATGAAGCACCGCCGGACCGGTCCAACATCACTGAATGTTTCTTCAAGCTAGTTCATACAGAAAACACAGGAAAGGTCACTAACATTGCATTCAACAGCAAAACAATCTAACATTGCATTCAACAGCAAAACAATCAGAAAGAACACAAATCAAAACATTGCCTTTCCGCAAACCGCTTGCAAAACCAATAACTTCCGATAATAATAAAAAAAAACTCGATTGCGTGCTTCTAAGAGTCGAGTTCAGAAACAAAAGTACAAAAGGAAATTCCTACGTTCATACTTCAGCTCAAGTTTTTCTCAGAAAACAAACAGGCAATAGAGGAAGTACGAACCTGTGAGTTGGCGAACGAGTACGGCAAGTTCTTGACAAAAACCTTGGAAGGGCAGTGATCGCCGGCGGCGGCTCCCTTCTCGCCACCGTCCTTAAACCTCTTGTTCTTCCCCATGGCTGCTTGAAAGCTTTCCACGGACTGCAAAAAACTGCCGAATTCTCAAACCTGTTCCAGCTGAAGCGGGGGTTTTGGAATTTTGACGCCCAAACTTGGTTTGGGCCGATTTGGTGGGCTTTAAGTCATTGGGCTGGGCTGCAATGGAACCTGATAATCTTTTGGGCCATAGCCCAATCAGGTTTAATAGATCGACCATTGTTTCTCCGCTAGTAGATATTGTTCGCTTTGACCTGTTACGTATCGTCGTAAGTCTCATGATTTTCAACACACATCTACTTTGAAGTGGGTCTAGCCCTACTCCGACCAGGGCTTGCATCGTCCGTGAAGTTAGCGATGATACGTAACAGGCCAAAACAGACAATATTTACTAGCGGTGGGCTTAGACTGTTACAAATGGTACCCGAGCAAGTCACCAAACAGTGTCAGGCACTAGTTGGAATTGAGTTTGACCCTCTCCAAAGTAAACGCGTTTTAAAACTATGAGATTGAAGGCGATACGTATCAGGTCAAACCGGACAATGTCTACTAATGATGTGCTTGAATTGTTACATCAATTTACGCTAACGATGTCATTTATATTTCTCTATTTACTGTCTCGTCGATTTTCAATCTTATTTTATTTATAAAAAAACTCAAAAGGGTATTTTCGGAACAATTTTCGACGTTCAAGGTTAAAAAAACGCTACTTTTCAACGTCGTGAGGCATAACTTGAAACCTTCGTAAAAATTTACGGATATTTTATATAATTCAACAAAAAAAAATTATAAAAAAGAGATTATAATTAAATATATACAACTTGATGTCAAACATACATTTCGACTCATTTTAACACGACACGCGAACAGAGTCAGCTCGAACACAGATAAACTGGTACGATATTATCATTTCGACTAAAAGGTCAGAGATTCAAATTTCTCGACTTGATTTAATAAAATCTAAAAGAGTGTGAATTATTCATGCAGTAAAGAACGGAATGGAACACTGAGAAGAAATTCTTCGACAGTTATAAGGAGGGACGTGAATTTCTTTGCAGTCCGATTGTTTCTTCCTTTTCTTAGCTTCTGGATGCTTCGGTTTCTTCAAGTCTTCTATACATCGAACATCGGCTATGCAAGCAAATGACCTAGATTTTCCCGAGTAGTATCGAGATAGACCTCTCCTATACTCGAACACAACATCATCATAACAATTAACCAATAAATCCACTGTAGTGCCCATTTGGGTTCTGAAAACGACGAAACCCTAATTATAATATAAATATTGTTTCAATCGTTCATCTACTTTCAAAAAATGGTATCAAAATTGAAGTAAGGTTTCAAGAAACGGTAAAAAGTAAATCCAACAGGGTTTAAAAACTATTTTATTTATTATTATTTTTTTTTTATAAATTTACATATCTTTCTCGAATTTGATTAAGAATTCAAATATTACCACAGAAATTACAAAAATCGAAAACCATCGAAAAAAAACTCGTGAAAAAACAAGCTCGATTTAAAAAAAAAAAAAAAAAAACCCTAATAACTACCGAACTTGTTATTATCTTTGAAATTTGGTTAAAAATATAAACGTTCTGCGTAAAGAAATCGTGAGAAAACAAACACAGGTTTCAGAAATAGAAAATTTAAAATCGAAATCGTCATCGAACGGGGCAGCTTAGAATCATCGAAACAAAACCGATCCATGAACGGAAAAATAGACCAAAATTGCTTACTTTTGAGGAAGATTTGACCTAAGAGAACCCATTTCAAAAGCCAACATGTCGTTTCCTTTTTCTTCCATTGTTTTTTTTTTTTTGTTTTTTCGGAATTGTTGAGGTTAAAAAGGCAATATATATTATTATTTTTTTTTAATGTCCAAAGAAAAATAAACCATTCTATTTTATCAATGGAACAGAATCAATTTCTCCCCTGCATCCATTTGTTCCATCCATTAATTTTCTATTTAAAATTAAATATATTTTTTAATTTGAAAAAATAAATAAATTAATGATTTATTTATTCATAAAATCCAATGGCTAAAAATATAATTATTGTATGTCACACCACAATAAGATCCAATTTTCAAGTTTTGGATATTCTTTATTTACTTCCTAAATAAAATGTTAATATAATAACTTGAAATTTATTTAAATGTTCCAATTTTAATTAAAATAAAATCCGTGAAATAATAATAAATTTACGCTAATAAGAATTATTTTTTATGAACACATATTTAGAAATAGTTTTTTTTTTTTTTTTGTCCCAAATTTCTTTTAATAAAAGAATCAATTAAATGGATTTTATTTTTAAATACAACTTATATATGGTAAAAAATAATTGATTAAACATATTAATAAAAAATATATTACCAGATAAATATCTATTGGCTCGTACAGTTAGTCTCAGAGGTTTCCACACCTTTATTATAAGAAAGGTCCAGCATTCTCGCTGATACACCGCTCGATATCTGGTTCAAACATATCATTTGTAATAATTCAAACACACCACTAGTAGATATTATCTGTTTTGCCTCATATTTTAAGACGGATAGAATAAGTTTCTACACCCTTAAATTTCACAACCAATCTCAGTTTTATAAAAAATTACTTTCTCTTATATTCTATCATTTTTTTTTTCGGTTTAATAAAAATATCAATTTACCTCATGGATGAAAAGTCCACGAACTAAAATATGATCTACCAACTTTGAAACCGAATCAAAATCTTTGAAAATACAATCAAAATCTTTGAAAATACAGTCAGGTCTTCAAGTACACGAACCAAAAGCAATTCAGAGAATATTATGAGCGGGTTCCCCATAGTGAATTTTGTTTGTGGTGATCGGAGAGGCGGTTGTAGTTGCGGTGGTGGTCGGAGGGGAAGAAGCTTGAGGTTGCTCCTCTCTATGCTTCCCTCCTGTTAGCTTCTCTTTTATCTTTTGATTCAGTCCTTTCTTCTTCTTCTTCTTCTTCTTCCTCTTCTCACTTTGTTCTTCTTCCTCAGACTGGAAATGGAAATAAATTAATCCTATGAATGATATTTAATTATCTAATTTATTACAAACTTAAATTAGGATTAACATAATGGATATTACAATTAAATTGTAACCCATTTAATTCCTCAATTTGATTAATAACGTAATACGCGCTCGTTCAGCATCGAACCATCTGTACCAAGTTGGATACGTCAAAAAGTTCATTTTGAATACCATAATTTTATTTTATTAATATTGTTTTAAAAATTGTAATTGCATTTCTTTAGAAAAAAAATGGATTAAATAAAATCGACACGTCTTTCGATTAAAGATGATCATAAATGGTAAAAAATGTATGTTCATTGGTACGAGGGTCATAGAGAAATCCAAAGTAAAGCCCTGAAAGCTTATGCTCAAAATAGACAATATTATACTATTGTAGAGAGTCGTCGTTTGTAACTTAATATCAAAGTCATGCCTTTGATTTAATCATGTCAATAGAATCCTCAAGTGTCGAATAAAGACCCTTTGCTCAAGGACTCCAAAAAAGGTATCGAGTCTCAATTAAGAGAGACTATTCGAGGACTCCATAGGCCTCAAAGAGGTTAGGCCTTATAGTGTACTTTGTAGAGAAAATGATTAAGCGACGCCAGAACAGAATGAAAATCTCGAGAGTCTGAGCGAGAATACGAAAGTCCAACTGCTAATTATAATTCAAAAACTTGGACTCACCGGACTAGAGCCTGAAGTGGCCGAGCCAACATGTGTACCTGAGCCGCCATCTTCATGCTCCACGACCGGCATCAGCTCCTGCTCGCCGTCGCCATTGCCACCACCTGAACTACCTTCAGCATCACAAGCACTGCCATGGCCACCACCATCCTCATCACCACTGCCAAAGATCAGCGACCCGAGTGTCGTGCCGACCTTGGTTGCAATGCCAGAGAGCCTCACGGGGTTGCCATGTTCATCAGTCAACACAACCGGGTTGCCATGCTCGTCGTTGAGTTGGATGGGGTTGCCATACTCGTCCTGTATATCAGCCATTTTCGCCATTCTCATCCCTTCCATTTACACACTCAAGAGGATAAGAAATAGCCTTGGGTACCTGTCTAAGCCTAACACGTACTCTCTTTTGGGTTGCCACGTTAGACATTTATATGATAGGTGTCAGCTTCTGTGATGAAACCAATCCAAATCCAAAACATTTAACAATCATCTCTATCTTGATTGTGTTGGCATTCTAGCTAAATTGTAGGAGTGTAAACAAACTGGGGAAGTAAGCTATATACACAAACTCGACACCTCAGACTCCTCCGCCCCCAAGCTCATCAAGCTCATCACCCTAGTACCGCTGCTCATTCTCTGGCTGAAAAAAAAAAATTTCGGCCGCCTCCCCAAATAAAAACAATCGAAAATAAGGATTCGATCTTTATTCGGTAGGACAAAAAAGGAGACTATTTACACTACGTGCTAAAAAACTTGCCATTGCAAGTAAGACAAGAACCAGAGTTCAGACAACTGGAGTTTGAATCGAGGCATCTTCAGCTTCGAGAACTCAAGGGCCAGGCTGCTGCTTCTCTTTTCAAGATGGAATTATCTCATCATCCAGATATAATAAAGAACTGTATCGACACCATTCAGCCATTTTTGCTTTTTTTAATGACAAAATGAAATACATTGAGGAGTCCTTTAGACAACGACGATAACCGGCCTAAAGATGTCCTCATGATCAACGAAAAAGGAAATGGAATAAGAGCAGGGAGCGACAGGACTGAACAAAATGGAGTACCCACATAAACGTACAAGAAAATGACCTGAACTCTTGGTCAGTCAATATTGAATATACCAATTTTTACAGAACAACGAGAATAAAGCAAAGCCTGTAAATGGGAAAGGATTGGAGTCCACTGATCGTACCTGATATTTCCTTGCTAGTTGCAGCGCAAAAACGACAGCCACCCACGGTCAGGCAGTCTATCAGAATTCAGAACACAAGTTTGATCAATGCATACAATTATCCAAGAGAAATCATATTGATTTGTGCAAGATAAGAATGAAAATCTCCAAAATCTAATGCGTCATAATGCAAATTTCAATCTTTCAATCTTGTTATCTGAACTGTTTCTTCTCTTAACCTACGTTCCTATATACAGTGTTGACTCCACAACCTAAAAGCCTGTATGAATTTCATAAAAAAAAAAAAAAAAAAAAAAAAA